AGCAAGATTTAGGGACGCTCACCACCACTGGAGGCAGGATCCAGGCACTCTCAGGTGATCCCCTGAGTTCTTTGCCCCTATGCCAGAGGGAGGCCTGAACAGGCACTCTCTCAATAAGTTTATTTATTTAATTTATTTATTTTTGTTGTTTTTGAGACTGTAGCCCAAGATGGCCTGGAACTCACTATGTAGATCAGGCTGGCCTTGAACTCACAGAGATCCGCCTGCCTCTGTCTCCCAAGTGCTGGGACTAAAGGTGTGCACCACCATGCCTGGAAGCTCTCTCATTTTTTAAGGTAGACATTTATACCTATGAAATTCTGTCTTAGGACTGCTTTCATTATATCCTGTAGTTTTTGATATGTATTAGTTACTTTTCCATTGCTGTGATAAAATACCATGACCAAAAGCAACTGACTTATGGAAAAGAGTTTATTCTGGCTTATGGTACCTGAGAGATGAGTACATCATGGTAGGGAGGATGGCAGCAAGAAGCAGGCATGATGGCAGAAACAGGAAACTGAGAGCTCACATCTCCAGTCACAAACATGAAGCAGAGAGAGCAAACTGCAAGTGGGGCAAGGCTGTGAGCTCTTAAAGCCCACCTCTAGTGACATGCTTCCTCCAGCAAGGAAACACTTCCTAAAGATTCCATGACCTCCCAAACAGTACCACCAACTGACCAGGTATTTGAATACTTGGGCCTATGGGAACATTTCTCATTCAAGCCACCAACAACTTGCTGATGTCGATTCTCTCCTTTCATCATATAGGACTTTGTGAATTGAACTAAGGTCATCAGGCTTGGCAGCAAGTACCTTTTCCCACCAAGCCATCCTGCCAGCCCCTATTTTCAGTTTTGAAAGGAAGGAAGGTCTGACATTTGCTGCAACATGAACGAACCTTGAAGGCATTATACTAAGTAAAATTAACCAAACACAGAAGGACAAATAAGTATGATTCTACTTACTCGAGGGATTCAGAATAGGCAAATCCATAGCAACAGAAAGTAGAGTGGTGGTTACGTGATTTGGGGAGACAAGGGACAGGGTGCTTAATGGGTGTAGAGTTTCAGCTGAGGAAGGCAAAAGAATTTTGTAGATGGATGGTGTGGCTATGAATGGATTTAATGCCTCTGACCTGTACATTTTAAACATAGTTAAGATGCTATATTTTGTTATATATATTACTACAGTAAAAAAATAAAAACATGAATGGACGTGGTAGCTCGTGCCTGTAATCCCAACACTTAGGAAGTAGAGATAGGAGGATCAGAGTTCAAGATCATCCTCAGGTACATAGCAAGTTTGAGGCCAGCCTGGGCTACATGAGAGCTTGTCTTATAAAAACAAAAAAGAAAAAAGTATTTTTGCTTTTTTTTTTTTTTTTTTTGTCTTTTTGAGACAGGGTCTCCCTGTAGCTACAGCTGTCCTGGAACTCACTATGTAGACCAGGCTGGCCTTGAACTCAGAGAAATCCACCTGCCTCTGCCTCCCAGTGCTGGGATCAAAGGCCTGCACCACCACGCCCAGCATACTATTGTTTTTTAAATAATACTATGCATGCTTTCATTTATAACAATATTAATTTTTATAAAGTTATAAATGGAAGCCAGAAAAGCATACATGTGTGTCATGAGTGTTCATACATAGATTTTATTTTATATATTATTTATTTTTTATTTTATTTAATAAATATTTTATTGAGTATATTCCCTGCGTTATGAGTGTGCCCATGTTGTACAATGCCTGCAGAGATCAGAAGAGAGCATCAGATCCCCTGGAACGAGTTACTGACCATTGTTAGCCACAATGTGGGTGTCGGGAACTGAACCCAGGTCCTTCGCAAGAGCAGTCAGTGCTCTTAACTGCTAAGCCATCTTTCCAGGCCCTTTATTTGTTACTTTTATTTTATGTGTATGAATATTTTGCCTACATGTGTGTAAGTCCACCACATGTGTGTAAGTGCCTGCAGAGGCCAGAAGAGAGTGTTGGGTCCCATGGAACTGGAGTTATGAATGGTTGTTAGTTGCCATGTGGGTGCTGGGAACTGGGAGAATGGCAAGTATTCCTAACCACTGAACAGTCTCTCCAGCCCCATAGATTTTACTTTTTGAGACACAGTCTCATTTAGCCCACACTGGTCTCAAATGCTCTATATAGCTAAGGATGACCTTGAACTTCTGATCCTCCTGCCTCCATCTCCCAAGTACAGAGATTACAGGCATACACTGTCACACCCAGTTTAGGTTTAAGGCAGTGCTAGGGGATTGGACCCAGGGCTCTATGCATGCCAAACAAACATTCTACTAACTGAGCTATATCACCAACCCATGTTCATAGATTTTATGACATAATTTGGGCCACATGGGGGCCATTTTATAAACTTTTAAAGCCACTTATTACCTCTATTCTCTTTAGATAAAGATAGTTATTTTGGGAGCTGGAGAGATGGCTCAGTGGTTAAGAACACTGAGTTCGAATCCCAGCACCCACATGGCAACTAACAACTGTCTGTAACTCTAGTCTCGGGATCTGACAGCTTCTTCTGACCTCCGTGGGTATTGCACGACACAGGTGCACTTACCTACATGCAGGCAATGCACGCATATACATAAAATAAAATAATAAAAATTTAAAAAGTTAGTTATTTTCAATTAAGAGAAGTACTATTGGATATAAATATAAATATTGGATATAAATATAAATATTTAGTGAATACATTTCAGGAGAATTTGAAATTCCAGAATACTATGTATAACACATTGCTACTGCAAATAAAGGTACAAATTTATCCAGTGTGAATAAGGACCATATTATTCAAGCGTTTCCCTTTTATGATTTGCTCTCCTTAGCGCGTCAGTTCAGGAACTGAATGGGACTCTGAATTAAAGGTACAGCAGCAGGTAAGCATGTATTGTCTGCTGAGTCTGGATCGCAAGTTTATTTATAACCACCTTCCTTAACCTAGTCCAAATAGCAGGAGTGTATCTATTTATTCATGGTTATATACAACAAAAGACTGGCTAGCTTGGGAGTAAGAAGTTCAGCTAGTAAAGTGCAATCCTAATTCGTCATTGTCCCCTAATTTACTATTGAAGAGACAGCTGGAAGAAGAAACATACAGTGGAAAACAACTTCATGTATCCTCTGAGACCTCCAGAGCTGTCCAGCCTTTAAGTCATGCTGCTTGTTTTGACAGGCTGCCTTTACCTTCAAGCCTTAATTGCTCTGAAGCAGTGTTGTATCTTGTCGTTCCATCTAAATTTTCCTCTTTGTTCACAGTACGAGACGAGAACAGAAGCACGGAGAAAAAATCTTCTCATTTTGATTTTGCATTATTTAACACAAGAAGGGTAGGTTATTACAAATGTTTATGATGGTCCCCCTCTCTGACCCTTCGAAAGCCATTACTGAACTTCATTTTTAGTGCAGTTTAGTGTTTAAAGAAAAATGATCAGAAAGTGTATTGAATCTCTATATATTACTTCTTTCCCAGTTTCCTCTATTGTTGTTGTTGTTGTTACTATTATTTGCTGATGATGGAATCCAGGGCCTGTCATGTTCCAGGCTCGCACTCTACAACCCAGTCCACCCATTAGTGACATCCGCATCATGTGGTTCATTTGGTATCATTCATGGGCCAGTGTCATTACCAAAGTCCACAGTTTACATTAGAGTTTACTCTGTGCTACACAATTCTGTGGATTTTGACAAATGAATAATGATATATATATTCACCCTTATAGTAACATACACAATTCTTTTGCTGCCCTAATGCCCCCCTATCCTGTGCTCTATCCACCCTGTCTCTTCCCCTAACCCTTCCCCCACTTCAATTGTCTGACTTACCTGTACATTTTTCACACCAGGCATTTGAAATCCATTGTCAGGTCTACCCAGTACATGAAATACTTTTCCTTCCAGGTTTGAAGATAACCTGGAAACAAGGCTTCCCAAAGTCCCACAACTGACTACATCACAAAGATCACTCTTATCGATTTTCCTTTCTTTAAAATATTGGAAAATTAAAACAATCATAGTTGTTTTAATAATCTCTTCAAGACAGGAAATCTCTGCAACTATACATTTTAGTCACTTTTATTATTAAAGTCATTAGAGGATCAATTTTTTCCTTTTTTGATAGTTTCAGGTGTGTGCATCTTGGTAACCAATTTGAACACACTTTGTTAATGACTTAACTTTAATAAGCTCCTTAATGGCAAAGAGTGACCTTTCATATAACATTTTAGTGTTACAATTTTGTTTAGTTTACAATTTTGTAAATGACTTTTGCCTGGTAAATGTGATCAGTTTCTTGCAGTGTCTTTAGTAGAAAACATCCCCACTCATTAATTTTGGAATAGTTTTACAAGGCATTTCCCTTTTTGTTGTTGGGGATTTGAACTCTATTGAGGAAATGTTTTTTTTCCCCCATATTGTTACCAGCCTTAGACCACAGAAATTAGTGTCCCCTCCTTGGTGAGCAGTCAGCCGCCAGTTGATGTTAAATTTCCATCTCTGTATCCACTCACAGTAGCAGCGTGGAATCAAGTGCCCAAGCAGTGTGGGCCTGACTTCTTCCTCTCTGTGCCTCTGTTTCCCTCTCTGCAGTATGAGAATAGATGAGCCAGGCAGTCTGGCAGGTCCATGGGCTGCTCTGCACTATCATCCACCCAGTCACCTGAGGACAGCAGCTCCAAAGACAGCATATGAGAAAGTGCCAAGTGTCTCCTCAAGACAGGGATGTGGAGTTTACTGTAATGTGTGGTGGTAGGGGACTTGCTGGATAAGCACATAGCCAGACTGTCCTATTTCAAATGCTTAGTCTATTTTGGTTAGTTCTACTTTTGGACATGTTATTTAGTCTTTTTGTGCTTCAGGTTCCTTGTCTATAAAATGGGGTAATAGAGGATAGCTAAGTATCAGATAGATACTAATAGTTTTTGTTTTCTTTTTTTGAGATAGGGTCTTAAACTGGCAGTCCTCATGCCTCAGCCTCCCGAGTGTTGAGATTACAGGTGTGTGCAACCAAGCCCTATTTTGGGTACTGTTTTTATGAGAATTAAATATGTGTTTGCTTAGAATAATGCCAAAAGGAAAAAGCTTCTAGGAATGGTTGCTACTGGACCTCAGAGGAGCTTGGATATGGTATTTATTATTTTAATAGCCAAGAGGACTTAAAACATGTTCATTGTGGGTTTAGTCCATTTCACTCCATCTTCTGTTGATGTTTTATGTCCCCTGACATAAAACACTATGTAGCATAAGCTGGCTTCTGACTTCTGATCCTCCTGCTTCAGCTTTCGGAGGGCTGAGGTTACAGGTGTATACCACCATGCCCAGGTTTTACCTCATCTTTTTAATGGAATCTCAGTTCCAGTTAAAGAGTTAAATAGCTAAAATACCTCAAGACAGCATTTTCTAAGTGTGTGGGATAATTGTTGCCATGATAGTTTCAAAGACTATTAATAGGTGCTAATTAAAGGGTTTTGTGGTCAGGTGAGTTTGGCAAACATTTGGGTTAAACTGAAGTAGACAGGGACCCTTATTTCAGGGCTTCTCAGACCAACTAATTTACAATTTATGATGGGAATATCTGTGCTAACAACATAGTACTTGGGGCTTGCAAACATTTTGGCTAAGAACCCTCACCTTTTTTTTTAAAAGATCATTGTTAGAGACTAGCTTTCTGTGAAACACATTGAAAATACTGTCATAGTAGATGAGCTAACTCATAAATTTGACTCGCCATGCTAGGCCCCAGCCCTGTGAGCATAGTATTAACACAGGCTGAGTAACCACTGAGGAATTTACTGGGTAGGTAGAATAATTATAGACTAAAACAAAGAAGTACCTGATTTTTATTTTTGGTGAAATACACTTTATATTCCAGAAATTATATCAGAAAGAACTGTAAAAACAAACAAGGCAAATGAAGGTTTGCATGACTAACCTGCTTTGGTTATTATAGCTAACCCTTCTTCAGTTATAGCCAGCATAATTTGCTGTATATGATTTATAAAGCACTCATTGCTTTATAAAGCATTGCCCCCTTTTTCCACTAGATGGCCCTGTGCATCTTAAATCAATGAAAATTCCATTAGAGTTGATCGTTTTCCTGAAATATACCAGGAAAGGGAGGTTTGAATGGATTATCAAGATGAAATGGGAACTGTAGGTATTTTTAATCACAGGCTAGTGTCAAAAATGGGAACTTATCTTTAATGAAGTACTGAGAATTCAGCAAAGAGGACAGATTATTGTTGACTGAAAAGGTCTGGCAGGCAAAGCTTTGTAGAGATGATATGAGCAAGAGTTTAAGGAGGTGTGGAATATGAATAGACATGTGATAGGCAGCTGTGCAGAGGAAGAGGGGCCTGGGACAAGTCGAAGTCAAGCAGACATCAAGAGCAGAGTTTGAATGTGTGAATGAGAACTTGTGAGGGCAGACAGTGAAGGGTCCTGGATGCTGGTTTCCAGGTCCTTCATAGCTGTCCTTTCAGGCCTGAATGTGAACAATCTCTCTTCTGTGTCCTGTTCATCCATCCTCCATTCTGCCCACTGCTGCCTCTTGCTCTTCAATGCACCATCCTGTCACTTTTGGCTAAGAACCCAGAGTGGCTTGATGACAGATTTCATTCAAGCTCAAAAAATATAACAGCAACATGAATAAACAGTTTTGTTCCCCTGATCAATTAGCTTAGAGAACAGGGGTCTACTATAAACTTTTCCTGTCATTTTTGCTGTTTTTGTTTTTGAAGACAGGGTCTTAATATAGCCAGGCTGGTCTCAAATTTGTTATATAGTCCAGGCTGGCCTTGAATTCCCCATCTTCCTGCCTCCACAACCTGCATGCTGGGATTATAGGCATGTATTATGTACCACTAAGCTCAACTTTTCCTATAATTTTTTTTTGGTCTTTTTGAGACAGGGTCTCCCTGTAGCCCCAGCTGTCCTGGAACACACTATGTAGACCAGGCTGGCCTTGAATTCACAGAGATCTGCCTGCCTCTGCCTCCCGAGTGCTGGGATTAAAGGCATGTGCCACCACACCCGGCTTTTCCTATAATTTTAAAGTCAAAACCCCATGATTCTGAAAATAATTCAGAAGGCAATGTGATACCAGTAAGGATGACAAGCGATCTGTGGCACATGTTCCTGTCTGCCAGTGCTGTTTATTTATTTGCTTTTCATTGTGGTTTGAATATGGAATACCCCCGTTAGGGTTCAGATCCACAGCAGCCCTGCCCCCTCCCCAACAGTGCCTCGTGGGTTCCACAAGCCCCTGATATAAGCACCCTGGTCTTTGAAGTCAAAAGCAGACTTTTCTGCACTGTTTGGTCAGCACAGCAGGCTTTCCCTTTGATCTCAAAAGAGGGCAGATTTTAACAGTCCCACTCTTCTGCCCCCCCACTCTTTAAAAAAAAATATCTTCCTGCCTTCTGCATCCCCCCAAGCCCTCCCCCAATAAAAGACCCCAGTTCACAACCTGTAGGCTATTTTTCCCTACCCAGAAGGGTGTCTGTCCCCTGCGAGGCTTCCTTTGCTAATAAGTTGCTTTCTCCCATCAACCTGATTCATCCATCGCCTACTTCACTTGTCAGATGGTGCCGAAACCTGGGACACTGAAACCCCCTACCCCAGGCTCATGTGCTGGTGGAGCTGTTTGGGGAAGTTGGCTTAGCTGGTGGTAGGTTTCTGGGAGTAGGCCCTGAAGTTTATAGCCTGGCCTTACATCCTGTTCCTGCCTCTTCTTCCTGATTTGCTCAAATGTGAGCAAGCAGCCTCATACTCCTGCCTCATACTCCTGCCACTGTGCCTTCCTCTCCAAGATGGACTGTGCCCTCAAACTATGAGCCCAAATAAGCCCTTCCTCCCCTAAGTTGTTTCTCGTCAGGTATTTGGATCCAGGAATGAGAAAAGTAACCAATACACTGTACACGTGCACATGTGTAAACATAGATTTGTAGTCATTTAAAATATTGGAAAGGTAGAGAAACGGTTGAGTCATCTGTGACAGAATTCTCTGTTGGCTTAAATGTATTTTCTTTTCTTCCTGAAATGAATATGTATTACTTGATGCTAAACAAAAATTATTAATAAAAAACAGATGTAGCCAGGTATGGTTGGCACACACCTATATCCCAGCTATGTGTTTGTACATGTGTGCAATTTTCAAGGCAAGGTCATGGTTATAAAAAGACATTAACTACTAAAAATTAAGATCCAGAGATTTTTTTTCCTACTTTCAAAGGATCTTTAATAGAATATCCTCGTTTTTTGTGCTAAAAATGATTACATTGAATAGTCTTATGATTCAGCAAGTTAAAAGTGACAGTTAAGAATGGTGGTAGGGAGCTGGAGAGGTAGCTCAGAGGTTAAGAGCACTTGCTGCTTTTTAGAGGACTTAAGTTCAGTTTCAAGCACCCACATCAGGTGGCTCAAAACTGCCTGTAACTCCAGTTCCAGGGGATCTGACTTTGTCTTCTGGCCTTCACAGGCACCCCCTGCCACACACACACACACACACACACACACACACACACACACACACACACACACACGGCAAACACAGGCACATAAATAAAATAAAAAATAAATCTTACAAAAAAGGATGATGGTAGGGACTTGGGATATGTCCCAGTTAGTAAATTGCTTCTAGAGCAAGCATGAGAAACTGAGTTTGAGTCCCAGCACCTGTGTAACAAGCCAGGCATGGTGGTGTGTGCCTGTAAACCCAGCACTGTGGAGGCAGAGATGAACCTTGAGCCTTGCTAGCCAGCCAGTTTAGCTAAATTAGTAAGTTCCAGAGAGACCCTGTTTCAAAAAATAAGATGAAGAACTATTGAGGAAGAAATTCAATGTCAGTCTCTGACCTCTGCGTGCACACACACATATACACATGTATGCACACTCATACATACATGTACACACATGAACACACATACATGAATACACATACATGAACACATATACACACTGGTAATGGAAGTCAGGTGTGTGGTTACTTATACCTGTAACCCTGGCATTGGGAGGCTGAGGCAGGAAGATTACCCCTGAATTTGAGTCTAGTCTAGACTACAGAATGGGATTGTCTCAAACAACAACAAAAACAAACAAAACAGTGACAAAAAAAATCAATGGTAATGGGCTGAGGTTGTAGCTCAGTGGTAGAGTGCCTTCCTAGCAATGTGTGAGGACTAGTTTGACTTCTAGCACCACCCCCTAAAAGCACAGTTGTGACAATGCTACTTAAATGTAGAAGCACTTTAGTGTAATATAACTAAAACATTACCAGGAATAGTTTGTCTAAGCAAATATACTAAATTTCTCTGATGATGTTCATCAACATTGCCTTGGAATTTCTTTCTGAGCTTATGATGGTGCTCTTTTTAATTGCCCTAATGGTGGCAAATCTTGCTCTTTTAAATTTGGACTTCATGTTTTCTAAAGTGAATACTGTGAATAAATATGTAATCCGGTTAGGTAACTATACCCATGTTTGGCTAAAAATGAGTAGATGCAATCTAAAGACAGTTTATTTATTTATTTTTATTTTATGTGTATGAGCATTTTGTCTGCATGTATATAAGTGTACTACATGTGTGCAATGCATGTGGAGGCCAGAAGAGGGCATCAGATCTCCTGGAACTGGATGGTTGTTAGCTACCATGTGGGTCCTGGGAACCAAATCTGGCTCCTCTACAAGAGCAACCAGTGCTTTTAACCACTGAGATGCCTTTTTAGCCTCAAAGACAGTTTCTTAATTGACTGACTTACTTGACTTTAAAGCATTTTCAAAATTCTTTTGAACAATGGTGATAGCACTAGAATAAGCAGGTGGTTTCCAGAGGGAACTGTTTTAAAAGTATTTGGATATATTTAACATGTGGCACACACCTGTAATCTTAGTGTTCCAGAGGCTAATGCAGAAGGATTATGAGTTCCAGGACAGCTTGGGCTACATCATGAAACCCTGTCCCTAAAAACAATCAACAAAGAACAGAACCAAAACCAGCATGCCTTTCCTCCAAGCACTTGGGAGGCAGAGGCAGGAGGATCTCTGTGAGATTGAGGACAGCCTGGTCTACATAGCCAGTTTCAGACCAACTGGGGCCATCAGAAGATCCTGTTTGTTTGTTTGTTTTTAAAAAACCCAAAACGAGAAAAGAAACTCAAAAACAACAATAGCAACAAAAACATGTAAGATTCCTTATGCTATAGAAAAATTGTACACACTAGTTTTTCTACAATGTGCTACTTAGTATCCACTTGCTCTTTGTATTGAGTCTCTTTGGACTTGCAATCCCTGTTTGCCTTTATTCTTTAAACTCAGAGTTAATTTTTTCTCTTCTGTAAAACTTCCAGATATATTGATGCAGCTAATGCTTTGGAGGAAGAAACTAAACTGGGGTTACGACGCTTTGAAGTTTGTGACAACATTGACCTTGAAACCATTTTGATGGAATATGAGAGCTATTATTTTATAAAATTTCAGAAGTACCCCAAAATGGTTAAGAAAGCATCAGACACAGGTACATAGCTATGCGCTAGAAATAAAGCTTTATTCTATTGTTAAGAATGGTGTTTCTGGTGGCTCACATCTGTCATCCCAATACTGGGGAGGTGGAGGTTGGTGACCAGCTTGAGATACAAAGTGAGACTTTGTCTCAGAAAAGGTGTATGGAGTGGGGGGCTGGAGAGGTGGCTGGCACAGCCTTTAAGAGCACTGGCTGCTCTTCCAGAGAACCCGGGTTCAGTTTTCAGCATCCACGTGGCAGCTCACAATCATCCATAACTCCAGTTCTAGGGGACCTGACATCCTCTTCTGCCTCCAGTGGGCATTGCATGACACACATGCACTTACATATGTGCAAGCAAAATACTCATACACATAAAATTAAAAAAGCATTTTTTTTTGTCTTTTTGAGACAGGGTCTCCTTGTAGCTCCAGCTATCCTGGAACTCACTATGTAGACCAGGCTGGCCTCAAACTCACAAAGATCCGCCTGCCTCTGCCTCCCAAGTGCTGGGATTAAAGGCATGTGCCACCATGCCTGGCCAAAATAAAAAAATTTTAAAAAGATGTTCCCAGGTAGATGGTTAGATGGCTTCCTTCCCCCTTGCACTGTAAGAGTAGACCAGAAAGGTCCTTCAGCCTCTCTCTGATCCAGAACTGACAACTCAAAGTGATTGCCTGGATTTTGACATCCCTTCAATCTTGCTGGCATTTGTTTGAGGAATGTATGTTTTAGGGTAATGAAAGCAAAGCCCCAGTGTATTGCAGGTGCTCTTTAGAAGACCAGCATTAACTTCTGTAGTGATGGAAAGGGTTGTTGGAAGACGATAAATGACAGAGACTTTTTCTTGTTAGGAAGACCTATTATCTATCTTGAAAATAACATGAAAATGAGTATTGGTGAAGCTAATAGCTCATGTATAGATAATGAAATGCTTTTGAAAGCCATCAATCCAGATGGTGATCAATATAATGCAAAGACCCAGTATAGGTTAGCAGTCAAGGAGGCTGGCTAGAGGGAAGATCTAAAGCCAGGGTCCTAGGTTTTGTAGTAACATTGACTTAGAAGTCTGTAAGTAGGGGAAGTAATTATAAACCAAGGGAGATTGTTGTCCTGTTTACAAGGCACTTGTTAAGCCACAGACTTTAACATTTCATGTGGGGACCAGGAAACTGAGAGGAACATCAATTAAAAATAGGTAGGGCTGAATCTCAGAGTTGGAAGGGGTTTGAGATTTTTATTTTCTTTATTTTCTCTGGGCTTTCTTCCAATGAAGGGTTCAGAACTCAGCTTACTTACTTGGTTGTTAGATCTGGGCACTGGGCTCCTAACCACAGGGAGACAAGCACTGTTACCAACAGGACCTGATTTCTAGATGGCTTGTTCTCATCTAGCTTGGAGCCCACATTTCCTGCGATACTGGAAACAATATCTTAACTCTGAAGGTCAACTGGAAGAATTTGACTCAAGAAATGTTCTCTGCCAGAGTCATGTACTCACTCTGGAGTCCTGTGTACCTCCGTCAAAGAGGGTCAAATTCACAAAAACTGAGTGGGATGGCAGCTGTAAAGCCAGCCTGTGTGGGCATTGTCCCCATTGGCGGAGTCTGCAGTGTAGATACTGTCTGAGGCCTGGGTGTCTTTCTCTGTGTTGATGGAGATGCCTGGGAAGCCGGGACTTCCTTCTGTTCTCTGCTCCTTTCACTTCTCTTTAGATCAGAATAGCTGTCTATGGTCCAAAAAGCTGCAGCACAACAGTTAAGAACAACGTGACAGGAAACTGTGCCTGAAAAATCATTTTCTTTCTCTTAAGACTAAATTCTTTCCCTTTTCCCTCAGGAAATAATTTACCACCAAAAAGTGGAGGGAAGACCAAAAGGTAAAGTAATTCATTTCCATCAACTCAGCTCTCAGTTTGTGGGATCCCTTTCTAGAAGATTCTCCAGTGCAATGCCATGACTGTCTACCAGCAATACAAGACTGTAGTCACATAACCTTGGAGTCCCCTCTTGTCACTGCTGCCAGGACTTAGGCCAACATCTTTAGGTTCTCCCGGGTCACGGAAAATAATGTGTCCAGTGATACCCTGTCTTGGTTCTCTGACAGACATGAATGGATGTTGAGACAAGTTTGTGTGAGTGTGTGTGTGTGTGTGTGACATAAATTCATTTAAAACAACCCTATTAATAGAGTTTGCATTTATTTATAAATAGTATTCATTTCATAGTTATTTAATTTTTGTGCCAACAGAAGACCTGAAGGACATATTTTCTTATTTCTAGTTTAGAGATGGAAAAAAGATGCCCTGAGAATGGTCAGTGTCCATTTCTCATGAGTTCAACATTGGGGTCATATGTGGACACTGGTGATATTGTTGACATGGGTAGTTTTGCTGGCCAGACAGTTATGTAGTTATATTAGAGGTGACCATCTTTTTCTTTCCCACAATGAAATGGAATTGAAGCATATGCTAAGATAATTTATTACATGGGAGTCATGCTCTGATGAGCCTTTTGCAGATGGCTTGCAAAGACCTGAGAAATCAGAACAGCTTATGGTATGGGAGCCCATGTTTTCCCCTAAGCAGGTCCTGCCTCTCTCTGATGTTGCCTTCTATCGCAAAATGCGAACATTCCAATACCATTTTTTTTTGTCTAATTATGAGGATGTACTGGACAAATTAATTTTGCCCTTGTGATGTTTAGCACATATATTCAAATGAACATGTTATATAACTACTGCTGAATGCATCCCACCAGCAGATTCCCTTTATCTTTTCCCAGCTAATGTATACCCCATCTTTACCAGAGTCAGCTACTTTTCTGGCTTCTAGCCCCATCAATTTGTTTTTCTTGAAGTGAACAGTATCGATGAGAAATTGTTTTGCAAATATGAATTACCTGTGACTACAGCCATGGGTTAAGTTTTGTTATTCTTTATAAACCCCTTTTGAGCTTTACTTATTTGCAATATGCTAAGAGATATTTTACATAGAGAAGGTATAGTCAGTATATACCAGGCTAAAATCACTGGCAAACATAGATTTTTTTTCTGATATTTCATAACTTAAACGGGTGGACTGCTTCCTCCCTCCACCCACACATTTTCCTGGTTTGATTCTTAAAGAATGTGGGAAGGTGTTAACAACGGTGTAAAGCAATGTGTTCTGGGAAACTAAAGCTACCTGCCAAAGAGCAGAAACTCTGATGTGAATGAGAAACAAAGAGGGTGAATTGGATATGTGGGAAGAGGTGAGTCCTCTAGCTTGTTTTCGAGGAGCCCAATGAGTAGCCTGGAGGGAGGCAATGTCAGATTGGATGAGATGGGTAGATGACACAAATGGAAAGGCCTTACCATGATAGATCTCTGTACCTTTCAAGAACTACCAATGTGCTACACTATTTACTTACCTCAAATTAAGTGGTTAGAATAATTTCCTGAAGATTTTTGTACCCTTCCTTAGGGTGACAAATGACAGTTGTCAAAATCTTCCCAAGATCTGTCAGCAGAGGCCACGATCCAAAACCACAACAGGAAAGATTGGGGACACTAAATCTCTCAAGGAGCATCCTAAACAGGTTGGAACGACTACTTGACATGGTAATATCACACTTGGCTGATAAATGGCTCTAAGAAAAAGATCTCATTTATTAATTTATTTTAATTAAAACATTTTTTAATGTGTATTAATGCTTTGCCTGCATGCATGTAAGTGCACCATGTGTGTGAAATGTGCATATAGGCCAGAAGAGGGTGTTGGATCCTCTAGAACTAGAGTTACAGATGTTGTCAGCTGCCATGTGGGTGCTGGGAATTGAATCTGGGTCCTCTGGAAGAACAGCAAGTGTTCTTAACCCTGAGCCATTTCTCTAGGCCATCAATTTTTTGAGGTCCTATCTTTAAAAGTTGTTATATGATTTAATTCAATTGTAGAGATCCCCGAACATTGTAGAGTTTTGAGTATGCTGGATTAAAAAGTGGACACATTCATAAAATTTCCAGCTTTTTCTCTAGTCTCAGGGCAGGATGAGTGTACTGGAAGGAGTTAGGCTGCCTATTGCAAATTCTCCTGGCTGAGATGAGTGCAGGCAAGCAGGTTTTCCCATTCTGAACATATCTCCCAGCTCTTCACTGTGGCCCAGGGATAGACTGAGGCTCAGCTGAGTTTGGCATCTCCTGCTGGGCTTCTACAGAGCACACAGGGTTAGTCCTCACCCCACACCTCCATAGTGGACTTTCTAGAGGGTGGGGCAGCTAGAAAAGAGGGCCCAGCAGACAGGTGAAATCAATGGTTCCTGCCTCAGGAGACCTATATCCAGAATCTTCTTATCTAGGACAAAACATTCCAGGTTTTTAAAGTGAAAAGAACAGTGGCAACTGAGAAAAGGAACAGAAAAACATAATGTGATGGCTAATCCTGGGTGTCAACTTGACTGGATCTGGGATTAACTGAAATGAAAGAGATCTTCTTGATTGGATCATCTGAAGCCGGAAGACACACCCTAAATGTGGGCGCTACCTTCTGATGGTAGCCGGTATAAAAGACCAAGGCAGAGCAGAATGCCAGGCTTTTTGCTGCTTGCCTTCTCTCTTACTGGTGAGTTCGTCTTGCTTCTGTAGACTGAAGACTAGCTGATATTTTGGAATTTGTCAGACCTTCAGTGCCAGATTGGGACTACTGAGACATCCAGCCTTGTGGACTGAGCGACTAGGGATTCTCAGCCTCTCCAGTGTGGTGCAGCCATTGTTGGACTACTGGGACTCTATCCTGTGAGCTAAGCTGATAAATCTCTATACATATTCATTCTACCGGTTCTGTTTCTTTGGAGAACCCTGACTAATACACATAATACTAAAGACTCCTGATGGGATAGGAAGAAATAATCATGCAACTCAATTGTTTGGAAGGAACCCTTTACCCTCAACAAGGGTCTATGGCTCTGCCCAAGGTAGAAGGGAGGTGAGGTAGAACAGGTGAGCGCCACAGGAGGCTGGCTCAGTCTGCTGCATCTCCAGACCCTACCAGTCTTGGCCATGGGAGAAAAGACAAGCCAACAAATTAGGAATGGGCTGAGCACAGCTAATTCCTCTATGGGCAAGGTTGCTCAGAGCCCAGGATCTTGAGTCTTTTCTGTCTTCTTGGTCAGCTCCTTCCTCACGGCACAGGGAGATGGTTAATAAATGTTTTAGGTCTGCACAAAAGTGGCCAGATAACGTGGGGCCTTCCATGTATGGAATTTGTATCCAGCATTTGATTTCCCATGCCCTGTGGGCAGTCAGAGCTGATGCCTCAGCTGCTTTCAGGGCTGACTTCTCACCTTCTTCCCTTTTCTCCAGGAGGGTGTCAATAATGCTCATGTGGAGGGTGCTGACTTTGGCTTAAACATAACAAAAATCCACAAAGATAGTGGAGAGGAAAAGGCCCACCCACGAAGAGTAAGTGGAACTAAAGATCCTAAGATGGAAAAAGGGATGCTTTCTCTTTTGAAAAATGAAAATAAAGCATATGATTGTTGTCAAACAGGAAAGTTAAAACAAAAGTATTAAAGGTTGGCTGTAAGGTGAAGTGTGAGTATGAGGTGAGGATCAGAAACCCAGAGAGTATGTGTTGATCTGACTCTCCTTTCTGGAAGGATGATCTAAAATGATCCACCTTTAAGGAGCTCAGTCTCCTTATTTGTAAACAGTGTTTGGAAGAAAGGGATCTATGTTGTTTTCAGCTTAAAAATCCTGTAATTAGCTGGGGTGTAGTTCAGTGGTAGATGATGTGCCTACCATATGCAAAGCCCTATGTTTGATCCCTAGTATCAGAAAAAAAAAAAATCGGTGATGACCGTGATAAACATTGATGTCCTGCATCGTTTGATGAGCTGTGGTCCCATGCTCACTTTTCTGGCCCTGCCAAGGATATTTGATTGGTGTTCCTCTCCTTGGCATTGTGGCTCTGGATTTAAGTGTAATTCTGGAGTTGGTCTAGGGATGATCCCATACTTAAAAGATAGTTCGGCTTTTTTCATAATGAACTTCATGTCTGGCTTTGTAAATAATAGAGTCTCAGAGAAAAGACCCAGATGGAGTGGATGTAATCAAATGGAAGGGTTAACATGCCCTTTGGAACAGCATGTACCTCTTGAGGTACCCTGCAGGCTCTGTCCTTCTAACTCCTCTCCTTCAGTCAAGTTGTTAAACTGTGAGCTGCAGTTAGTTCTGGCCTACCCTGTAGGCAAACTGAATGAACTCTGGTGGGAGCTAGGGGGATTGCCCTGCAAACTGAGGGGAGCTGCCTCACTGGCCTGCAGAGGCTCCCTGTCAGGCCTCAGTGAACTCACTAACTGTAGGTGATGTAGTTCATCACCTCCTGCAGGTAAGAAGGTAGTGAGAAAACTGTCCCTTATTAGTCCTACTGCTTTTGTCAAGTTTTGAGGCACCTTTGTGCCTAGCAATTTTGTGGCTTTAGTTTTTCTTACAAATGCCTCACCATGATAAAATGGGTATTTCTGATTGAGTCAGAGGAAGGGACTATTTAACCCAGCACTTAACCTTTGAAACAGTCTGGCCATAAATTCCCTTTCCAGCAGAAATGGCTTCAGGGTAAAATGCAGATAGCTTTTCCCCCCAACCTTTCACTAGCTGAGTGACAGTGTCTAGGTTTTTTCCTTCCCTCCAGGAGGGTCTGTCACCACCATGTTAGGGACCCTAGCTTTGATTCACATGTTTGCTTCAAATTTCACATGTGTGTTCTTCAGAGCTCAGGCTTAGGAGTCAGTCTGTGAAGTCTACATTGCCACAGATGCGTCCCTATTATATAACTTTGGTCAAGTTGTTTATCATCTCTCCAAGCCTCACATTTTTAATCTGTGAAGTGGAAATAGTCATAGTACCTGCTTTAAATGTGATAATGAAAGGAGAGCCTTACTATAGTGCCTATAGTTCACATAATGAACACTCAATAAGTGCTGGATCGTATTGTAAATGTGTTTTGCCTATACCCTGCTTTTTCCTTCCTGCCTCTAGAGGAAACAGGATGGTATTTGAGGGAGTATGAGTTTCTGAGACTGCTAGTTGCTCTTCTTGTTATGACCAAATGCCAGACAGAAGCAACTTAAGGGAGAAGAATTTGGCTCATGGTTTCAGGGGCTTCCAGTATATCATGGCAGGTGGAGTGACTTCTGTTAGTGGTAGCAGGAGCTAGCTGAACTCTTTAATGTGGTGGCCAGACCAGGAAGCAGAGAACTATATCAGAATCAGAGGCAAGTATATCAAAGACCAATGTCTGCTAGGTCACCAACCTCTCAAGACAGTGCCACTAATGCCACTTAGGACCAGAATCAAATCATAATAGCAGACAGATATTTCTGTTTGAATCTTGGCCTTAAACTATTGTTAGCTATGTAGCCCTGGGCAAATTGCTTAACTTTCTTCTGGCCTTCCTTTCATAGAAATAACATTAGAATGTCACTTGTCACTAGCAGAGGTGTTAATAAGAATTAGAAGTCATTGTCACTGAGAACCTTGCACAACTGCTTTGTCCCAGGCACTCTACTGAATAAAGCATGTAAATATAGTCAGCAAGCAGGACCTCTCTTTACTCCTGCCCTTAGATTCTTCCTGCATGTGTAATGTTCTGAAAGGATGTGGCCAGACAGGGCAAGTAGTCATGTAAGGAAGCAGATGGGGAGTGTCAGGATAAAAAGGGTTTGTGAAGTTGTATTCAGATAACTTCATTCTAAGGAATTATTTAGTTTTCTTTTTCAGAATGTCCCAGCTTTAGGACGTCATCCTTTTCAGTCGTAGTTCAGGTTCCTCTTCAGACTTAACTTGAAGTTTGCCTGACATACAAGGGTATCTAAGTGTGGCTGCTAAGGCTCCTCTCCTCTCAGGTGCATATGCATAAATAACCATTGCTCTGTTTTAGGGCCAAATCATTGACTTTCGAGGGCTTCTCACAGATGCTATCAAAGGAGCCACCAATGAACTTGCCTTGAACACCTTCGACTGTAACCCAGACCCCTCAGTAAGTGACTAAGATGTGTTATTCCACTTCCAAAGTGCCCAAATCCAGTGGAACTTCAAGAAGGATGGTTCTGAGTGCAGCAAAAGCTTGAGAGCAAGCCAAAGGTCATAGCAACCTGTTACCATTTGTTTCACCGAGATCTCGTTTTTCTTCCTAAATTCGGAAGCAATAATGGAACACAAGCCTTTCTGCTCTTCTCACCAGGAACGATTGCTGAAACCTCTGAGTGCATTTATTGGCATGAACAGTGAGATGCGAGAATTGGCAGCGGTAGTGAGCCGGGTAAGCTCTGCTATTCAATTCACAAATTTACGAAGGCAGATCAGGGCTCCTGGAGCATTGCGGGCTGCTTCTTTTATTAATAACAATAAATATGATCATTTATTTATAAAGTGCCCCCACTTGCAAAGGCACTCATATTGTTTAGAGGCATAATAATGCATGATAAATAAATTATAGAATCATAAAATTACAATAGAAAAAGCCCACCATCCTTCTATGGAGGCCAAGAACACAGAGAGAAACAAAGATGCAGTAAGGAAGGGACAGGTGAAAGGTTTTATAGCAAGCCCCAGAGTCAAGGAAAGAGGGCACTTAGAAAAGAAAAGAGCATATCTGCATTTTGTTTAAAAAGTCACAGCTTTGAAATACAGAGATCCAGAAGTCTGATGAGCTCATACTTGGAAATTTCCATGAATGCCAAGATTTATAGGAAAGATTTTACCACCAGACTACAGATTGTTCAAGCTTGCTCTCCGGAATCTAAAGACAGGGAAACTTAATGGCTAATGACATAGCCTTGAAGTCAGTTGACCTGAATTTTGTTTTCTAGATCCTTCTCTTTCTAGCTGTAAGGCTTTAGCCAATCTTCTTGAGATTTGAATAGAGTCTTGATTATAGGAGGCTTTTCTAATATCCACTGAATGTCATATTTAATTGAAGACTGAAACTGAGGCAGACTCAAGGAGATGCTTAAAATGATGGAACACACACACACACACACACACACACACACACACACACACACACGGTAGGTCCTAGTAACCAAGGATTCTTTTGCTTCTCCGTTCAGTCAGTAGATGTCCATCTCAACCCATTACATACCAGGCATGTGCAAGGGGCTGCAAACAAAGGGGAGTGTTTCAGGTCCAGGCCTTACCTCCAGAGTCTCTGGTTGCACTGGAGAGCGTTAAGAAAGGGATGTAGACAAAAAGAAGAAAGGGAGCTGAGCATTACTCTGGGTAAAGGTGGAAAGTAGGGTTGGGCATAGAGAGGTAGGGTTCTTGAGGAAGGGTCCCTGAGTAGTACCCAGGATTGGGAATTGGTCTAGAGAGATGAGAACCTTGGAGCAGCTTCTCTCAGGGGATAGGTCACCATTTGTGCTTATAGGTAGTTTGTCCAAATGGTAGTGAGGTGGACGGTGGCAAAGCAGTGGAGAAGAGAGGCCAGCTATGAGGTTTATACCAGTGAAGGATGATAGAGATTAAGCTGGGGAAGGATGCAGAAGGGAGCAGAGGAAAACACTTTTTATACCCACTGAAATCTATGGTCTCTTTCCTATTTTGTAAAAGCATAACATGACTGAGGTTAGAAGTAGAGTGGAAGTGACCTGAAGAGATTCCATACTACCATAGGACGTGGTCATTTACCTCCTGCTTTTTTTTTCCTTCTTTTTTTGTCTTTTTGGAGACAGGGTCTCCCTATAGCCCCAGCTGGCCTAGAACTTGTTCTGTAGACAAGGCTGATCTCAATCTCTCAAAGATCTGCCTGTCTCTGCCTCCCCAGTGTTGGGATTAAAGGTGTGTGCCACCATGCCCCGGCAAAACACTCATACATACTCTTTTTTTTTTTTTTTTGGTCTCTTTGAGACAGGTCCTGCTCTGATTATTCTAGTGATGGATAGATCACTACCTCAGGAGACAGATCTGTTGAGTTGTGACTGATTACTTTGGATGTATGTCTATAAAGAATAATTTTAGGTTGGGAATCAGACACACCCTATTGAACTCAGGTCAACTCTAGAAGATGGCAAAAATACTATTATCTATGGATGGTTCAAATACCAAGGTAGATGAATTCTTATTGCATGCCAAGATTCTCTAATCAAAGGGCTTAATAAAAGTTGTGTGTTCTCCTCAAATTTTAAGAGCCTGGAACCAGGTGTGGTATAAATCTTTGCAGTCCCAACAACCCGAAAGGCTGAAGCAGGAGGACCTAGGCTACATAGTGAATTCTAGGCTGGGAATGCAGGGTGAGACTCTACCTCAAAAGATGTACAAAACCTGGAAGACTGGGTCCTTTATTTGTCATCCCATCCAATAATGGGTGCCATACATTATACATAGCCCACTTCATTTTTCCATAAATACATTTTCACATTAAAGTAGACCTCTTGGATGGAAAAACCTAGAGGAGGGGAGATCAAAATAGGAACACAACATCTTACAGCATTTTTAAATGTACTTCTATATTTTTGAAATACATGCATATATTACTTATTTAGAAATTTGAATAGTTTCCAGACTTGTTTTGTAGTCTCTCAGAATGACTTTGGAAAGGAGGCTCTTTTTTATATATTGTAGCACTTTAGACTCTAGACATTGCTTGCCTGAAGTAGCTACTATTGAGAGAGGCCCCCGAGTGACTGTTCTGAGGCTGTCTTGTGAAATTGAAATTTGGACACTGTAAATTAGTTATCAGTAAAAGCTACCTTAATTGATTACCTTAGATGGTTGCTACAGGGCTCTCCTGTAAGAGGGGAAAACTACACTTTTGCTTGGTTGTTGGCTTCCTTGAATTTTGCAGAAGCAAAATTGCTCCTGCCAGAAGCAGGGAATACTCACTAGGGAAAAAGGAAATTGGTTTCAGAGGAGCATTATCTCTTTTTGCAACAAATTAAGAAAGCCTTTGCCAGATCAAAGAGCAAGAGAGAAGCCCAGTGTTAGTGAGGAACCATCATGTTTTGCAGTTAAAAAAAAAAAAAAAGAGTACAATTGGAAGTATTCTGTAACTCCTTTGACTGTGATTTTAAGTCATTATAGTTTGTGATTGCCAGGTGGCGGGCACAGCTCATTGTGAGGAGATTTTCCTCTACTAAAGTGCCCTATTATGTTATCAATATCTTCTTCAGGGAAAGCCATTAAATATTTTCATGTCATCTCTGTGGTGAACTAACTCTAAATTACGATGTATGTACATATCCATATTTATCTGTATATGAAAAGTTTTTATCATGAGCACTTTATATTCTATTGTACGCCATGTGTTTTGCTGCTACTGCTATGTTCATTTCAGTGATGAAGGAAAACATTAGTTTTTTTAAAAATTTTACTTATTATTTTATGTGTATGCGTGTATCGCCTGCATGTAGGTAAGTGCACTCGTGTCATGCAATGCCTGTGGAGGTCAGAAGAGGCTGTCGGATCCCCTGGGATTGGAGTTACAGACAGTTGTTAGCTGCCATGTGGGTTCTGGGATTCGAACCCGGGTCTTCTGCAAGAACAACCAGTGTTCTTAACTGCTGAGCCATCTCTCCGGCCCTGGAAAACATTAGTTTTAACAAAATGATCAAATGTGTGTTGCAGGACATTTATCTCCATAATCCCAACATAAAGTGGGATGACATTATTGGATTGGATGCAGCCAAGCAGTTAGTCAAAGAAGCTGTTGTATACCCTATAAGGGTAAGTATGAGAAGCTCTATTTCTGATCATTGTCAACTGGACAAGCTGTATGTCATACACTCCTCAAGAAGGGAAAGTGGGATGATTTCCTGTCTACAAGTTAGCCTTTTGACTGGGTCGTGCTTTGTTAATGGTGGAATATTGAGCCTCGCTTATTCTATATCATTTAAAATAATGTTCCAGGGGGCTAGAGAGATGGCTCAGTGGTTAAGAGTGCTTGCCATTCTTGCAGAGGACCAGAGTTTGGTTCCCAAATCCCATATCAGATGACTCACAACCATCTATAACTCCAGCTCCAGGGGATCCAATCTGATGTCCTCTTCTGGTCTCCTTGGGCGCCTGCACACATGTACACATACTAACATGCAAACACACACATAAAGATCTTAAGAAAAACCACGTTCCATATCAGTTCAAAGGAAGCATCTGCTCAAAGTGGTAATTCAGGATCTAAGACATAGATATGTTATTTGTTAGCTACTAACATTGGTTCATTAGCTTATCGCCCTAAAATTATGCTAAGTGTAGTAGAAATACCTCTGAGAGGACAGGGTTCTCTTTGTTTCTATAGATCCTTCTGCAGCCCTTACTACCAGTTATCATCTAGGGCTTTGCTTTGGCTGCTTGTGAAGGCTAGATAGCCCCTTCCAGGGCCAGGGCCAGCAGGGCCAGCATGCAGTGCTCATTACTTCTTTCTGACTTTTCTGCACAGATCACAAAATAGGTAAACCAATAAGAAAAAAAAAAGAAATAAAAATAAAAAGATAGAGACCCTGTCTCTGTTAAAATAAAAAACAGTCTCCTTCAAGTAAGGTGATGAGATGGTCAGAGTATCACATAGGTTTTGCTATATAACAGACCACCCCACAACTTAGGGCCTTAAAACAGTTATTTAAATAGCAATTCTTCTGTCATTCTGTGGGTGGGCAGTTTGGGCTGGATCCAGCTAGGGTAGCTTCTCTCTTTCCACATGGTGTTATTTGCCTGGCTCTATCTCATGCCTGGAACATCAGCCAGAGTGGCTGGGAAGATTGGGGGAAAGTTGGGATAAATGTGGCAGCCAGCCAAGTTCTTTCCATATGTCCTTATCCTCTAGTGGACAAGTCTAGTCTTGTTCACAGGGTTCCCAGAAAGAGGAAAGAAAGGTCAAGTCCTAATGCATAAGCGTTTTCCATATCTCCTCCTATTTTTGCTCATCTTATATTTTCAAATCACTTTTTATATTTGCTTGTGCTCACTGGGAAGGGTCAGAAGGCCCAGATGCAAGTGAAAGAGAAACACTCTGCCTCCTAATAGAAACAGCTATAAATAATTTGGGCTAGTTACTGTAATTTCCTAAGGCCAGGATTACATATTTATTTTTTTTAATAATCTGCTCATTCCTACCACTGACTCCATGCAGCTCCAATGTCTAAAGCTGGCTTCACTGTAGCTCTGCACTTCACTGCCCCTAATCTTCACCTGCTGGTTCTAGGGTTTGTTTTCGCATTTAAACCTCCTTTTCTTTACCTTTTTTTGTTTGGAGACAGGTTCTCCTTGTAGCCACAGCTGGCCTGGAAGACCAGGGGGCCTTGAACTCCACAGAGATCCACCTGCCTCTGCCTCCTGAGTGCTGGGATTAAAGGTGTGTACCACCATACCCAGCCTTCTTTTCCTTATTTTTGTCTCTTTTAAGAAGCCACAAAAATTAAGTCAGACATTCTTATCAAGTGTGAAAATGAACTTGGGATAAATAAGATAAATAGGGAGGAGCCAACCTTAACAAGGGGAGTCCTGAGTTGTAGGGTCAGGCTGTGGTGCTCCAGCACTGCAGGCTGATTATCTTCATACTCATCATTGTTCTTTGTTCTCAAAGTATCCACAGCTGTTTACAGGAATTCTTTCCCCCTGGAAAGGACTACTACTTTATGGCCCCCCAGGTAAGCACATCTTTCAATTCTAATCTTAGAAGTGTGTGTGCTGTGAATGTGTTGCCTCCTCTGCTCCACCCAAGGACCAGGGCAAATGATGCCCATGGGAGGCCGACTTCTGTCTGTCAGGGAGGAAGGTAGCCAAAGCACCTGCTTGTTCATCTTTGTGTGTCTCTAGGCACAGGGAAGACTTTACTGGCCAAAGCTGTGGCCACTGAATGCAAAACAACCTTCTTCAACATTTCTGCATCCACTATTGTCAGCAAATGGAGAGGAGATTCAGAAAAACTTGTTCGGGTAGGAATTCTTTTTTTCTTTTCTTTTTTTTTTTCCTGTCTTTTGGAGACAGGGTCTCCCTGTAGCTCCAGCTGGCTTGGAACTTGCTATATAGACCAGGCTGGCCTTGAACTCACAGAGATCCACTTGTCTCTGCTTCCCAAATGCTGGGATTAAAGGTGTGTGTCACCACACTTGGCTTTGGATAGGAATTCTTAATATTTTTTAAAATAAATTTTCCAGCAGAATACAGAAGTACAAAATGATGTCAGAGCTCATTTGTGTTAAGGTGACGCATAGGTTAGATTCTACTTGGATCTTGATTACCAAAGCCTAGGAAATAGATTGTTATATGCAGGTATTAATCATATCTCCATCAGCAGAATTTGGACTCCTTTCTTCTGGAATTTTACCAACAATCCTTTTTTGATTCATTCAGTTTAGGAATAAAAGTCTCTAAAGAGGCCTACTCTTCTCTCCATTCATTATTAAGTTTGTAAAGTATATCCAGTTAATGTTTAGTGAGAGGCTGTTGCTGTATGCCAGGCCCTACGCTAAGAATCATGTGGAGGAATCAAGAGACTTCAGACTTAATTATTTCTTCTGATGTCCTGAGCAACTTCTCTTCCTCTGTGCTTACAGCCTGTACAGTGTGTTCTTTCCTTGAAAGTTTGTTTCTATCACTACAGTATTTCAGTTCTAGTCTGTAGTCTCTTTTACATGATAAATTTTGCAGTTTCTTCAGTCATCTTAAGAGAAGAGCTGTTTATGATATACACTGCACCATAAGGTGGGTCCTTCCCAGAAATCCTGATAGATTATTGCCTTCTGTGGAATGACTGATAAGTAATCAATACTAAGTGAATGTAAAATTTATCTTCTGAAAAGAAATTTTCCTAAAATATTACCTTGGATTATGTTCCCTTGGAAGACTCATTTCCAAATGACTATAGATTATTTAGAAGTCATAAGGGAATATTTTTAAAAGGGTTGATTTACCAAAAACTCACCTATTATTTATTACTTTGATTTTCTGTCTATTTATTTATTTTCTGGGAATTGAACCCAGGGCCCCAAAACTGAGCTATATCCTTAGCCCTTTGATATTGATTTCAGGTTATTTCAGATATATGTTTTTTTTTTTTGGTCTTTTGGGGTCTCCCTGTAGCCTCAGCTGACTTGGAACTCACTTAGTAGACCAGGCTGACCTTGAACTCACAGAGATCCACCTGCCTCTGCTGGGATCAAAGGCATGTGCCACCATGCCCAGCAGATGTATGAGGTTTTTTTTTTTTTGTTTTTTTTTTTTGTCTTTTTTGAGACAGGGTCTCCCTGTAGCCCCAGCTGTCCTGGAACTCACTATGTAGACCAGGCTGGCTTTGAACTCACGGAGATCTGCCTGCCTCTGCCTCCCGAGTGCTGGGATTAAAGGTGTGCGCCACCACGCCCGGCTATAAATTTTTAATACATTATTTTGTTGTCGTGTCTTTTTGTTGTCTTTGTTTCTTCCCTTTTGAGACAAGGTCCTTAATGTAGATACAGCCCAGGCTGACCTCAAATTAATGATCCTCCTGCGTCAGCCTCCTAAGTGCTAGAGTTATAGGCATCTGCCACTATGCCTGGCTCAAGACTGAATTTGTGAAAGTATTTATTGACATTATCTTGAGTCTAACTTAGACCACATCCAAAGATGGGCTGGTATATAGCTGCTCCTACATTTGGTTAACCCCAAATGGGTTAACCCCATTTCAGTGAGCTGAAAGTCAATGAACTATAATCCTTATCAATCTAAAACTGTTTTGGGGGAGGCAGGATTTAATTTTTGTGTGTTGAGTAACAACAACAAAACCCTTCTCCAGAATAGCATAGAATCATGTCCTGCTATAAAAGTGATACCTAGAGCCAAGAGCAGAAGACATTGGAGGTGCTGGAAGAAAGATATTCCAAGCCCTGGACAAGACTCAGCTGGCAGAAGAATCAGTTCAGAGATTTTTATGAATATCCTAAACAGAGATGGAATCTAAATGGATTTTTAATTTTATGTTGAATGCCTAGAAAAGCCAGTTCACAAGAATGCTGCCTTCTCCATGAGCATTTTATTTAGTGTTATCTGTTTTCAGAATAAGGTAATGACCCCAGCTCTCCATCTTCTTTACTATATATGAAAGACTAGCTTGATGAAAAATACATGAAAGCCTACATCTCTTTGATTTGGAATGAAGTTTAGCATATGTATATGTGTGTGCATATATGTATGTGTGGTTATGTGGAGGCCAGATGTTGATATTGTCTTTCTTGATCACTTTCCACCTTATCTTTTGAGACATTTCTCTCACTGAACCTGGCACTTGTTGGCTGGCTGCCTGGCTGGCCAGTGAGCTTCTGACACCCACATGTCCCAACATCTCCCTGTGCTAGAGTTACAAATGTGTGCTGCTGTGCCTGAGATTCGAACTCAGGTCCTCATGCTCATGGAGCACACACTTTACCAACTGAACCATCTCTCCAGCCCCAAATTTGAGCATTTTAAAAGTTAGTTTAGCTGGTCATGATTGTGCATGCCTTTGATTCTAGCATTTGGAGGCAGAGGCATGATCACTGTGAGATCAAGGCCAGTCTGGAATATCTACATAGAGAGTTCCAGGCCAGCTGGGGCTACATAGAGAGACCCTGTCTCAAAAAACAAACAATGGGCTGGGTGTGGTGGCGCATGCCTTTAGTCCCAGCACTTGGGAGGCAGAGGCAGGCAGATCTCTGTGTGTTCAAGGCCAGCCTGGTCTATATAGTGAGTTCCAGGACAGCTGGGGCTACAGGGAGACCCTGTCTCAAAAAGACCAAAACAACAACGACAACAACAACAACAAACAACAACAACAACAACAACAAATTATTGCAAAAGATATTTAGAAGACATTTTAATTTGAATATTTGAAAAAAAATTCCAGAAGAAACAGGAAACCTCTGCTAATCTTGAAGGATCTCACCTTTCCTTTCAGAAATTATTTTCTCCTTATTTTTGGAGATTTGGGGAAGATTGTCACCTGAAAAATCTTGTTCATGCTGTCAAAACTTATTCCTGTAAAGCTTTTGGATAAAGAGAACCCTTTAGGACCTTCTCCTAAATCAGAGAAGCATTTTCCCCCATTTGTTTCTCTTTCTACTCCAATTAAAGAGTTATTTATAGGGAACCTTTGGGCTATGAACCTCTCTACTCTCTTAATGCTCCTGCCTCTTAGGAGTTGAGCACTATTGAATAGTTGAGTGATCTCTTTAGCAAATGCATACACCTATGATGATTACGTCTTTTATCCCTGCCCCCACTAATTGTATGATTTAACTTCCTCCAAGTACCTCTGGACATTTTAGACTAATGCCTCCAGAAGCACTTACCAGGATTCTATTTATTCTCTGGAAATGGAAAGTTTAGTAATGTGAACAATATGGAGGCCTAGGCCCTAAATGCAGTACACCTTCCAACTTGATGCTTAGTCAAGGCACCTGGTCTTCTACACCAAAGTGAGCTCCTTAAAATTGTGTATGGGTCTAATACAGGGTTTTAATATTTTCTTTTTCATTGGGTAGACTGCTGTTACTGTAATCACACTTCATGTCACAAATAATTGGACTTCCCTTTTTTTTTTTACAGCAAGTAGTTGTGTCACTTTCTCATTTTATTTTTTTTACAGAAAAATTCATTTTTGATGAAATTGACATTAAGATGTTTGCACATGCATTTCTAATCTCTATATAT